GATAAAATTATTATTTAACTATATTATTATTAATGTTATTGATAAAACTTATTATAATAATCATACTTATAAGAATAACGATAATTATAACAATAATATTATAATTAATAATAATTTGATAATATTAATAAACACTCAATCAGATACAAATATATAGATCAAATCAAAATTAGAAAAACTAAGATCAGATCAGAAAGATTCAGATCGGTTCGGAAAGATTCATAAGCGATCATACCATAATTAAACCAGCTTAGGATGTTTTTAATTGGATTGTATAAAAATATTAAATACTAGTTATACGAGAATTTGAAAACTATAAGAGGCTATGCGACAAAAATACTCATTATATAAAAATAAAGATTTACATAAAATTTTTGATTAATTATTTGCAAATAATGACTACTACGTAGTACTTGTAATTGTTAAATATTGTATCGAACTTCACAAAAAATATATGTTTCAACATTTTATTTGAATATGTATTATAGAAATAAAAGAATAATACTTTTTTAATTGTAATTATAATAATGTTGGTAGCAAAAGAACAATATTTTAGATAATAAAATTCAAAACTACATTTTTGTATTTTGGCCCGCGGGCCAAAATATCACAATAAACCAAACTATAAAATTTAAATAAAACAACTACTTCAAGAGTACCTTCATTTTGATTAGAACCTGACGCGTCAAATGAAGGAGATTCATTGAGAGGCGGCAATCTTTGTCTTCGAGGGGCCATATTATGAAATCGCTTCATAATGACTTCATTCTCAATTTTAACAAATACATCTTTTTCAATGTAACACATCAAATAATCTGTCAAGTATTCTTCTCCCATCTTGTTGCGCAAATCACCAACAATATCATCATCGGACAATTCAACTTCTATTCGAGCCTTTTTAACATTATTGTCATTGTTAGTAATGACATTATCTGATGAAGAAATTAAATTATTCGATGAAGAACCACCAATGCTTGGCTGTTTAGGTTCCCGTGTATAATATCGTAACATAGCAATATTTTGTCAAACAACCTAGGCCAATTACAATTGAAATAATATGAGTATAATTGTATAAATTACATTATAACAAATTAACAACATTAACTAAATCAATAAATACACAATTATAAATTTACAATATAATTAACATTTTAATGAGATTATTTGTTATCACAACATAATTGCCAAAAACTTCAACATTGTATTTGAATTCAACAAATAAAAGTATTCAACAATTAACATTTTATTTGAATTAAGCAAATACAATTCAATACAACAACAACAACAACATCCAAGCCTTAGTCCCAAAAAATATTGAGGTCGGCTAACATGTATCGATACATGATATCACCACCAAAAGGCTTATAGTTCCTACTCGCTGACTCGCTGTTGTGATTTGCTAACGTTGTAGCTTGAACGCAGTAGCTTGAAGCCTTGAGCGTTGACTCGCTTTTAATTTCCGTCGTTGTAGCTTGAACTTAGTTACGCAGGGGCAGACTGCTTGAGTTGGGACTTGGGGTCTTGGCGTTTTGGCTTTCGGGGAGTTGTGCTGTGGGCTGCCCCAGGAAAGGAATTTTGGGATTGGGCTGGCACAAGGGAAAGGGCTAAGGTAAAGGGCTTTTGGGATTAGGCTGCAGGGGCTCAACTAATTAAATATTAATATATGTATATATATGTTATATATATATAAAATCACTGCAGGGGCACGAGCACCTCCGGGCACTAGGCTGGTTCCGCCCCGGGTCAACTTGACCCGCGAAACCCGCAAACTAAATGGGTCAGGAATTCTCAACCCTAACCCATCAATAAATGGCCTTAAACGGGTTAGCCCGCGAGTTTCGGCCCATTTTGACGGCTATCTATCCAAAATAATGTACACTCCACATACTCCCGATTTCAATTCAACACTTCTTTTTATCATCCTTCATCATATAATCCACCTATAAACTATTAATACTCCATAACTATTACTAGTACAATGTTTAGCACAAAAAAAAACAGTATAACCACACATAACACATTCATACTCCAAAAGATGGTGATTCATCACCTGTCTTCCATTGTGGTGGTTAGTTCATAAAAGAAATGGATTATGGCTAAACTTTTGATCATATCATATGAATAGTTCACAATATAATATTTAATTGGTATTTATCACTTGAATCCATATCAAGTTAACACTACCGGGGCATGCCCCGGGTGTTACACTAGTTGAATTTAAGTAACTCTTAAATCGATCACAGATTTTGTATTTTTAGGCTTTGCTTCAATCGGGCGGGCCAAGACACAATTAATGGGGCATACCTTTTTTCCATTGGGGGCACCTCACTCCGCACTTGCTAAACAATAACGCTTCTAATATAGAGGAGGATGAATGAAGATGCTCTAAGTTCTAAAGCCTAAACTACTTATTTGAATTTCATTGGGAGCATGTGCCCCCATTCAATATACCATAGATCCGCCACTAGTGGGCTTAGTTTATCAATCCAGTATAGCGGGCTTCACGCATGTGATCTTTGATATGTCATGGTCACAGTCCATGATACCATTAAGTCGAAAAATAAAAAAATATACGTATTTCACAATTACCCAAAACCAAAACTAAAAAACTTGATCCCCAAAAATAAAATATAGAGAAACTTTAAACCCTAATTTTGTAGTTAACTTAATGTCTAGCGCTACTTTTGGTCATGAGGACGATATGCCCAAGTCATAATTGTACGGGTGTCTAATCTTCTTCGCGTCCATAAGCCCATTCATCCATTAGTTGCATCAATATATATACACACTCCATGTTTTCTTAAATATGGTTTTGTATTTCTTAATATGTGCCTAATTTGGGAGGCTTAATAAAGTCAAGATTTACACGTGCAGTGCAACAATTAAGAATTTCTCATTCTTGATTTCGAATATTTAATTTATAAATAATCCTATATATAGCTGAATCACTTCTATTCATTCATATGCTGCAAAATATACAAATTAATTAAGCTGGTGAAGGCTTAAATTGGACATGGGCATTGCTCCTTTTACACCAATCTCAGCAAAACAAACCTCAACCACGGGTATGCGTTTCAGCTTCAATTCATATTGTGGAGTAGTTCATACAATGGACTTCTCTTTTGTCACGAACATAGATGGGGTGTGCCCATTATTTATTATGCTCTTAATCTTAATTGATATGACGGGGTAAACTTGAATATAATTATAGTCATTAAAAGTTACAAAGTCACATTTTTGTCCATCATTTTTTCAATAGTAATATAAGTGGAATTGTTTCTATACTTATATTACGTAGTATTTTGTACAATGTTCAGATTAAAGTTAGTAGACGACACAACGTTTTTATGTGTAATTGTTATAATGTTTCCATGATTTAGGATAATTTCAACTCAACTGAAATTTTTGGTCTGATATGGTCTATTTGGTTTTGGTCTGGACTGAACTGGTCTCGTGTGACAGATGTCTGGTCTATGTGTATTTTACAATTATCGGAATCCGGTCTGGTCTGTTTAAGTCTTGTATGGTCTGATCTGATTTGTTAAATTATGATCTTATTTAGGACTGAACTTATTGCATTTAATTATGTATCTTTCAAATTCTATAGCTAATCCCTATAAGTTCTTTAGGTTTTGAGATTTTATGTGTAAATAAATTGAGATATGTTTAGAATATAATGCCATAATAATGATGTTTGGTGTTTCTGGATGTTTTTTATTGGACCGGTTTCACTCCCGGTCCAAATTAGATAGACTAGATCAAATCGAATCAAATCTGAAATTGACCTCAGTTTAGATCAGTTCAAATCAGACTTTGAGAATTGTAATATACATATAAAACATACATATACCCGACCAAATCATTTCAAATAGACTGAACCAACTAGATTAAGCAGGCAAATTTTGTCCAATTAAAAGTCTTGTGTGTCAATAATTGGAAAATATGAGTCTTGTGTCTCAATATTTTTAATGATCATTTTAAAGGGTTATTTATCAAGCTCCGAAAAAGTTATGGAATCATGTACTTCAGTCCCAATGTCCCAATGGAAGGTTTAGACACTACTTTGGAAGTCTATTTAACTCTCTTTTAAATATGATTATAAATATAATAACTGTTATGATATCGTAATGGGTTTCTTGCGATTAAACAAAGATTTAAACGCAAAAGTGAAATGCCCAATGTAAACTCTTTACAAACGCAAAAGTAGTACGTTATTCGGATTTTATTATGGGTAAAAAAGGATGACACCCCATCCCTGAGGCCCCCAACACCGATCGGACGGCACGATGAGAGGATGTAAATTGGACTATAATCACAAATAGAGAGTGAGGCTCCGTCTCCGGTACTTGCAGAGGCCCTCTATTGAGTAACCTCTCATCGCAGTTGCCGGGAGTCGAACCCGGGACCTAACTCTTGTGACACTTCCTCGCTACCAATTGAGCTACGCCCACCGGTTCAGATTTTATTATGGGTAGGTATATCATACAACAACAATACTTTATAAAACATGTGGAGTCTATGATTGTTAGAAGGCATTTAGAGAAGAGATTTCTACATTATCGTGAATTATAGGTGCATCATATTTCTAAGTGCACACCCAATTCTTCTCAAACAGGCAGTTACAACTTTCTATATTACAGCACTTACATTAATGGCTTTCCAACGTGATATGTTATAACACTAGCGTTCGGTCGCGCAAGGCGCGAAAGCTTTTTCCCAATATTAAAGTAATGTTTTTTTATAAATAACTATGGAGTATGATATTGTAACCACACAACCATTATTCAAATTATTATATCTAGGTGTTTAATACGTAGTATATTTTAAAGCATGTTTACACCTAAAATCTTAAGAATTAAAATTTATTTTCATACACCAAAAAGAACTTAAGAATTCAGATGTTCTCAATTAAACTATATATAATTTTCTAGTCTACTTAAGAATTGGTCTACGGAAGTCAATCTGGTCTATTTAAGCATATCCTAATGTACTAATCCAAGTAAAAACATCTTTAGGATGGTTATATGGGCATATGGGTTTAATTTAGATAATGTTCAGTTTAAATTTAGCAAGTCCTACTATGATGGGTTAATTAATGTCCAGGTAAATCTAAAGAGGACACAGAATACAGTCTCAAGCCTCAAGCACCCCTTTATGTAAGGCCAAATTCAACATTGTCCAATGTCTTACCCTACAATGGTGGCCATCCACTCTCTCCTAAAGTTTCCAACCAGCATATCACTGCCAATCATATGCCGCCTCCAAACATCACCGAAAGACCTCAGCCACCTCCATTTCCACCTGCAACCCTCTCTCCTCATAACAATCATACTATTTCAATTTGTAATCAAACTTCACCAGTGTCTTCTTCTTCTCACTCGGAACCATACATGAACACTTGCTATCCTATATACCCATATGTGCCAATACCAACCAATGTCTACCCTCCTCCACAGCCAGACACCTCTCTTCCTCTAGTCACCTCTGATGGCGGTTATCAGCACCCACCGCTATGTTTTCCTCACGCCACCGGCGTCTACCCTCCAGGTTTGTTGCATTGCTTTTTTATGAATCTAAATTTGTACTCTAGAGAAAGGAGATAATCATAGGATGTATTCACAATAAAGTTTGATAAAACAAGTATATAGATAAGGAGGACATGACATCTCATCAAGGCTAACTATATAGGCTTTAAGATACTCATATTCATAGCATCCAACACTCTACCTAACAGCCATCCACATATTCTTAGCTTCCTGCTCCTATAACGTAACCTCTCATTTTAATATATGTGTGGGTGTATAGTTGTGCGGGTCATGTTAAAATAAGCTAACTCTATGTGAGTTAGGTATTGTGTACTATGAGTTGTCATATCCTCCCTTGCTAGTATGCCAAATATAATTTTCTAATAGGTACATTGTCACTTCCATATTCATTCCATGTGGAGATATCCTTTGCGAGAGTTCCCCCACTAAATAAGCATCATTCTCTTTATGAGAATTCCTCCTTTGTGAAGGTAGAAAGGGTATAGTGTAGGAGGCTAGATGGAGCCTTTGATATAATATAATTAAATAGTGCAAGACTGAGATGGAACTCATTAAGGCTATTTGAGCCGAATTTCAACAACAATGTATATTCCCAATAGTGGTATTGATCGAGCTAACATATATCAACATAATGATTCATTAAATCTGTAAACTTTGTGACCATTGTGTACAATATCTCAAAGATCTAGGATTGGAATTCCCCATGAATTTATTCGATCATGATACCAATTATTAATATGAACTAAACTTTGGTGGCAATATTGGTGAAACACGTGGGGAATTCCACCAAGTTTTATCGGGAAGTGGAACATCATGGAAATGTCAGGAGTCGGTATTTCACAACTACGTAATGGTTTTTTTAACAATAAAAGGGTGTTTTATTGAAGGATAAAGAAAAGTACAAAAGAGATGAAAACATAGACAAGAAACATAAAAACTTTGATGGAAAATAAAAGAACATATATTCTAAGTCCTAACTAAAAATAAACCCTGGTAAAAAAAACTAAAAATAAACCCGAAGTGCAATTGAAGAGAACCTCAGCTCCCTACAACCTGTAACTCAGCCAAAACTTCCAAAATCCATATGTGATTGAGACCTGATCCTCATAAGATGTGGCCTTTGATGTTTTTTTTCCTATACATTTTAATTTGAGTGTTTAAGTTTTTTGTGGATAAACAATTTTACCACGTAATCAGCATAACTTTATTACAAATATCTTGATTCCTATTGGAGTCCCACAAATCCTCCATTGTTAAACTAGGAGTCCTTTCCCCCTCCGATGCATGACCAAAAAATTCATCCCCCGAGTAAGGAGTGATCGGCTCAATGAGGACATCCTCAAAAGGTACTGAGTGTTGATTACTCGTGAATCCATCTTTGGAGAAATTAACATTTGGATTTGCACAGTAGTTTACTTTTTCTTCTTCCCCCGGATTCTCAACCATAAAATTCACCCCCTTAGTTTCCTATGCACATTGGCAATTTGTTCATAAGCTCGTACTACAAACACACAAGTAGCGGATGTACAAAAAAAGTGTACAACTTTTGTGTACACCTAGTCTTTTTTTTTTAAATCTTCGAAGGGGGTGTATCTAGTTTTATAATACTCCGTACAAGTAAACAAAAATTCCACGCTAACCTAAGGACTAGCTACTGGCAGGCGGCAGTAGGCGCTACAACACATAACAAAATCTGAACTTTTCATATTTAAGAAAAAAAACTACCAGGCTAATGCCGAGTTGAGTTAGTCGACACAAACAAAACTGGAAGAAGAAGAAGAAGAAGGGCTGGGAAGAAGAAGGCCTGGCTGCATGGCTGGGTTGTTGAATGCACCTCTTAACCAAATGTCAGTCGTTTCGATTAAGTGTTTTAAAAACAAAGTTCAACATCTTCATCACGAACAGAGCAGCAGCTAGGTCACAGCTATGGAAAAGTGGAGGCAAGGTAGAGGAGGACAAGGGGCGGCATGACGGCATCAAAATAATCCCTATAACTACATAACCATTTCCCTTATCCATATAACTACCTAACCATTTCCAGTGAAGGGGGCGCCGGAGCCATCTTTCCCAGTCCCTCCTAGGCATGGATTGGTACCGGGCCGATCCGGTCCAAATCGGGCTTTTTGTTTGTGGGTTAAGGCCCGGAACCGGCCCAAGATTCTACGGGGACTGGACTGGGCCGGTGTCGGGTCAGGTTCTATTTTTTAGCTTTTCTAATTAATTCCAACCCCCCCAACCCCCAAACACCCAGCCCAACCCGTCTACCACCAAAACAATTCGAAAAAAAATTGGGCCTGGACCGGGCCCGGTGCCAAGGGGCAGCCCGGAACCGCCCCCAAAAATCCCCCAGACCGGTCTTAGGCCCGGAACCGTCCCGGTCAACCGGGTCGGTCCGGTCCCACACAGTGGCGGTCCGGGCCGGTTCCCGAGCCGGTCAAACCAGAACCGGGCCACCCCTAGTCCCCCCTCGCCCCTTATGTATGAGCAAAACTAAAACTTTCCAAAAAAGAAAATTCACTTCCTTTATAGGAGTTTTATATACTCTAAGAACATTAAAAGAGAGTATTGTAGGAGAACTTACATTTAAGGAAAGTGACCAGATAAAAGATTCTAAAATTCAATTCCATCAGAAATTTATTGCCTCCTATCTAAGCCGATTACTGTTATATGTGTGTATTCCCTAAACTAAGCTAATTCTTTTTTAAAACTAAGCTAATTGTTTTTTTGAAACTAAGCTAATATTGTTTGATAGCATTACATCTCTTCCAACAGTTTTTCCAGATGGAAGCCCTTGGTATCCGACACCGCAGCAGCTCACAGAGGAACATTGTCGGCACCACTCTCCTCCATCCTTAATGGCGATGGAGTGTCCACCATCACCACCGCCTCACAATGTTTATCCACCTCCCCCTGCTATCTAAGGCAACCATCTTAATTGGATTCAAATATGCTTGCTAAGCACAGCCATATGTAAAGGACATTGAGATCCTAACAAGTACTCTTGATAATTTGATATAGATCCTACAAAAACAAACCGTTATCAGATTAAATATTTGTGATTTCTTTCCCTCTGTGTACCATCACACCTTTCATCTTTGTTGACAGGCTATTGATTGAAATTTTAAGAGAGCAACAATTTGGTAGCAATGGTGCCTTGAATATTACAATTCAAATGTAATCAAGAAAAAGTTGTGTTGTATTAAGATATAGGCATAGATACAAGGTTAATATGATGGCAGTAGTTGTACATAACCTTATATGTTAGCTTGATAGTGCAAAAACTGTACTTTTCCTATTAAATGTAACTTTTAAACTGAGTCAGTTGATTTGTTTGCTGAGTCACCATACTCGAAAAGAGAGAAAATGAGAGCCAGCAGTCCAGCACTATGTTGAATGTTAATGAACAAAGCTATATGTGATGATGGAAAAAAAATGTTCATCCAAACTGAATTAACATACCAAGCACTCCAAGCAAACTGAAAACTTGACAAACAAGACAGACAAAAAAAGGTTCCCTGTGAACAAATCTGATCCTTTAATCAGACATCATCATATGGACCCATAGCCTCAGTAATCTCACCCTGGAACAGGAGGGCTGGATTGTCCTATCAAACAAAAAATAAATATACATAAGCAGCTTACCAGACTTTATCATTCACCTCAATCAGTTTCTTCTTTCCCTTAGTTATTATTCCTTGAACTACCACCAAAACTTAACCAACTCCTGAATGTACAAGAACCGAAATTCCTCCATGTTAGCATTCCTAGTCTTTCCCTCAAGGAATTCGAACTCCTGGTAATGCTTGGGCCACCCCCACCATGGGCTTGTCTGTTTTCTTGACTAGCTTCGGACAGTCCATCATCACTAGCAGCGATTTCCTGATTCACAACCACAACAATGCTGTCCAAATTGATAGCAAGTGAACCCCGACAACCCCTCAACCAATCTGCAACTTCTGGAGTCACCAGCCTGCATTTCTTAACCTTCACCTTTACCAAATTCGGGCACCCATAACCCAATGCCTCCATTCCCAGGTTTGATACTGGGCAACCCTTTATACAAAGTTTCTTTAATGCGATGCACTTATTTGCAATGCATGTGAGCTCTGGGTCACCCACTGTCTCACTCCCACAAAGTGCTAATCTTTCGATTTTTGGACATTTTGAAGCAAGCTTCTCTAAGCTAATAAGTGTTGGGTTAACACCAATGAGAACTAGTTCTTGTAATGATGGGCAGTGGTCCGCCACAGCAAGCAATCCTTCATCGCTTATCCTGTTCGTTTTCCATCCATCTATATGAAGTTTCAGGAGAAGTTTACAGTGTTGGGCAACTACTTTTAACCCTAGATTAGTGCATTCTGGAGTCTTCACGAGGTGTAAAATTTCAAGATTTGAGAAATTTGAAATTGCAGTAAGACCAGCATCACTAACCTGAAGTCTCTCTACATGAAGCTCTACTATTGCCTGACTAGAAATAGAATCCAGAAGATTGTCCCAATCACCGGAGCATCTTAGGAGCTTAAGAGTCTTCAAATTCTTAGATCCTATGATCAAGGGTCCAAAACACTGCCCGTTGTAAAGCTCTTTTAGGCAAATGATTCGGAGTGATGTTGCAGCCGCTCCCGGGCCAATTGGTTTGGCCATAGCTCCATTTGCTATTCCGCGGAGTCGCTTCACTGATAGTTCCTCCAGAAAGGAGCAGTTGTTGAGCAGGGCGTTCATGCCTTCAGCTCCAAAAGTGCAGGATCCGCATGAAAGCTTCTTCAGACAGAGGCAGTTCTTTGCAAAGGCTTCTATTCCGGCGTCCGTGAGATCCCGGCAACACCGCAGCTTTAACCTAGTGAGATTAGGGCACCGGAGGGAAATAAAAACCAACGCGTCGTCACCTATACTCACAGATCTGCGGTCGCATTTCAACGCCAGCTTCGTCACCGAATCAAATCGCGAGAAAATTGAAGGAACTGCTGCGGTGAGCTCCGTTTGAGCGTGGAGCGATAGGCGGTTCCGGCTCTGTCCTTCCACTCTGAACCACCGACGGGAAACTAGGGAGCAACGCTTACGGTCTCCGGAGCTTAAAGACTGGAAAATGCAAGCTAAGCACTCGTCGGGGATGTTGGATGAGTAATCGGCAAAGTCATCGGAAGTGGCGTCATCTGGTATGTCAGTGCCTTGCATCGGAATAACCGGAGCCGTAAAGCCGGAGTTTGTTCGGTCGGTTTGATTTCGATCTCCGGCAGCTGTGGAAGCTAATTGGCCCATCCACGGCGACCATAAGAAAAGATATGGGCAGCTTATCTTTTGTGTTGTTTTACTGAACTTCCCTAATTAGCTTTGGAAGACAACAGAAAGAACACATTTTAACGGTTCAATCATTTATACGAAGGGAAGAAAGTAAAAAAACATAGGACGAAGAAAAGTTTACAAAGTTACTGGTATTTTTTTGCTGCTCTCTTCACTTCGGTCCTCTCCGCCTGCACTACAAATGCGGCAGCATCAGGCGTAGCACCGCCGTATTAGCTTCGGATAAAACAGTTCCATGCTGTTGCCTCAGGAAAATGTGTTAAAATTGAATTAAACGATCATTTTGGCGCAATTTTTTTGAGTGGGGTCCACTTCCGATTTGGATCGGGTCAAAGTGGTTTTGGGTTGTCTTTGTATAGGGCTACAATTCGATATATGGTATGCTCAAAACGAATAACGGGTGAATGATAAATTGATTCTCGAAGTTCGCTTGTTGAAATGGAGAAAACTAGGAAAAAGGTGAGTTTCTAGTGTGGTTTTTTCCCACACCGGAAAACCCAAGGGAATTTGAATCCTTTATGAATGCTGTCCGACAATTTATCTTCTAAAGACAGTTAATTTTTGTTCTTCCATTATGTTCCTATTTTAATTTTTGCTCTATGCTGAACTGAAATGTTGCAGCATTAACTGCCCAACGTCTTTGTGCCTTAATGCAGCGGGTTTGGACAGCTTGCTTGGAGAATCAATGCCAGCATGCTGCCATTGAAGTTCCAGCGTTCATTTGCACGTTTTGGACTGTTTTGGCTGGAATCAATGCATGCCCAACGTTTAGGACATTGATGTCCAACGTTCACAAGCCTTAAACAGCCATTAACACACCATAATCCACCCCTATAAAAGGCACTCTTCTTTAGCTCTCAAAAACTCTCTAGCCCTCTCTGAAAAAATTCCTACTGTGTTCTACCTTCTTTGTTCACGTTCGTTGGAACTTTAGTTTGAGTGCTAAACTATTGTTCGTGACCATCGTATCCTGGGAAACGATCGTTGCAATGCTCCTAGCACCCCGGGAGGCAACGAATACATTTTAAGGAAATCGTGCGTGACACGAGCTTTGGCTATTTCTGCTTCATCTATTTTCTGTTTTCGTTTAGTCATTTTATTTAATTAATTTTTTATTAATTACTTTTCTTTGTTTTTCGAAACACGCCCAACAAACTTAAAATGTATTCGGTGATTGTTGTACTACGGTAAATGATCTAAAATGTAGTTTGTCACCTTCGTTTAAGTTTGTACACACCCAACAAACTTAAATCACACATGGGGATTCCCTCCAGGATGTAAACCTTTGGGATCCAAGTGGATTTTTAAACGAAAAATGAAACCGGACGGTTCCATTGAAAAGTATAAGGCCAGACTTGAAATAAAGGGATACAAGCAACGTGAAGGCCATGATTACTTTGACACGTATTCTCCGGTAACGAGAATAAATTCCATTAGGATGATACTAGCAATTGCCGCTTTGCGGAAATTGGAAGTTCATCAAATGGACGTAAAAACCGCTTTTCTAAATGGCGATATAGATGAAGAAATCTATATGGAACAATCCGAGGGCTTTCGTGTTCCTGGCCAAGAAAAGAAGGTTTATAAATTAATTAAATCATTGTATGGATTGAAAATTTGAAACAAGCCCCTAAACAGTGGCACGAAAAGTTCGATCATGTAATGTTAATTAATGGGTTTAAGATAAATGAAAGTGACAAATGCGTCTATGTGAAAAGCACGGTAGACGGCTATGTCATTTTATGTTTATGCGTGGATGATATACTCATCGTGGGTAGCAATAATTTAACGATTAATTCTACTAAAAGCATGTTAAATTCTAAATTTGACATGAAAGATATGGGGCTGGCCGATTTAATCCTTAGGATTAAAATAATTAGAGGACCTGACGGTCTTACGCTAAGCCAATCCCATTACGTTGATAAAATCCTTACTAAATTTAATAAGGACGATTATCAAGAGGCAAGGACGCCATTAGATAAAAACGTACACCTTACCAAAAATCGTGGAGAGTGTATTTCTCTAGTAGAATACGCTAGGATTATTGGAAGTTTAATGTATCTAATGAGTTGTACCAGACCTGATATTGCCTTTGTGGTTAGTAAGCTTAGTAGATATACTAGCAACCCCGGTGATGAACACTGGAAGGCAATAGTAAGAGTTTTGAGATATTTACGGAAAACCCAAAACCTTGGACTACACTATGGAAGATATCCAGCCGTACTTGAATGGTATAGCGGTGCTAGTTGGATATCTGACATTAAGGACTCTAAGTCCACGAGTGGATATGTTTTCACTTTGGGAGGTGCAACAGTGTCATGGAAATCCTCGAAACAGACGGTAATAGCTAGATTCACAATGGAATCTGAGCTAATAGCCTTGGATAAGTGCACTGAAGAGGGTGAATGGCTACCCCATTTTCTCGAGAATATTCCAAGTTGGGAGAAGTCTGTCCCTCCAATATGCATACATTGCGATTGTCAAACGGAAATTGGAAGAGCACAAAGCAACTTATATAATGGTAAGTCTAGACACGTTCGTCATAGACATAACACCATTAAACAACTCCTCACAACGGGTGTTATCACTGTTGACTATGTGAAGTCAAAGGATAGCATAGCAGATCCGCTAACCAAGGCGTTGGAAAGAAAATTGTTGGAGAAGTTGTCACAAGGAATGAGACTAAAGCCCGTGAATTGAAAAGTTATATAGTGGATACCCAACCTAGTTGGTCCTAGGTTCAAAAGGGACAACTAGATTATAGAGCGAAGGATGGTCACTGTGGGGTCCTTGACTCCTACCCATTTCTCGTTAAAACAATGACTCCCGCACAAGGTTGGCAAAAACGTTTGGTTTAATGATTCTAAAATGTTGATCTACTCGATAACATTGGAAGAGTATGCGGGATACTCATGAAAGAATCACCTATGTGAGAGAGAAGAGGGTCGCTTCAAAGGAGAACTGTATAGGCTCTGTTCTTTACAAACTCTTGCACAACCAGGACGGTGATCCATGGCCAAAACGGGCACACCCATGAGAACGGAACAAAGTTGGAAGGTTAGGTTACTGTGTAAAGATAAGTGAATGTTTACACAACGATAGTATAGTTCAAGGACATCGAGTCTACTAGACAGCCAGTAAATAAATGTGTCTTTACAACGGAAGGTTCAAAGGATTAAACCTACCTCTCCGTTTGCAGGGATCATCCGGTGAATACAACGTGTCCTCCTATCTTCGTGTCTTTTTAAGTCTCGAAAATCAATTTTCATTCATGTGGGGGATTGTTGGAAAAAATGTGTTAAAATTGCATTAGATGGTCATTTTGGCGCAATTTTTTGAGTTTGGTCCACTTCCAATTTGGGTCGGGTCAAAGTGGTTTCAGATTGTCCTTGCTTAGGGATACAATTATATATATGGCACACTCAAAACGGATAACGGGTGAATGAGAAATTGATTCTCGAAGTTCACTCATTGAAATGGAGAAAACTAGGAAAAAAGTGAGTTTCTAGTGTGGGTTTTTCCCACACTGGAAAACCTAAGGGAATTTGAACCCTTTATAAAGGGAAACCCCCTCTAAGGAGTTAAGCTTCCTAAAGGGAAAGGCTCTCTCACGCACGTGCGGGTGCAAATCAAATCTCCGAAACCGGAGAACAAAAAACGTGATGACTTGCGTGCGGACACGAATGTTGTCTGAAAATCTATCTTCAAAAGATAACGTTAATTTTTGTTCCTCCGGTACGTTCCTATTTTAATTTTTGCTCCATGTTAAACTGAAATGTTGCAGCATTAATTGTCCAATGTCTTTGTATCTTAATGCAGCGGGTTTGGACAGCTTGCTTGGAGAATCAATGCCAGCATGCTGCCATTGAAGTCCCAACGTTCATATGCACGTTTTTGACTGTTTTTGGCTGGAATCAATGCCCAACGTTTAGGACATTGATGTTCAATGTTCACAAGCCTTAAACAACCATTAACACACCATAATCCACCTCTATAAAAGGTTGGCAGATGCTTTGCAAAAATACAAAAGTCACAAACGTGCAACACTCTTCTTTAGCTCTCAAAAACTCTTCAGCCATCTCTGAAAAAATTCCTACTGTGTTCTTGCTTTGTTCATGTTCGTTGGAACTTTAGTAAGAATATCCTTACTTTGGAGCATACCCTTACCAAGAATATCCAAGAGTCAATATCACCCAGAACAACACATCTCAAGTTCTCCCATTTGATTTTGTTCGGCAGAAGATTCCTCATGAACCATTTCGGGTGTATTTTAATGATCACGAATAGGAATATGAGGGTAATTCAGATATTTAAATGGTTTTTTATTAATATTTAATTTAATGGTTTTGAATAATAATTTAGAGTCGTCAATCAATTCGTTTAAAAAAATTACTCGTGCAAGATGAATAGTGTGGCCTAAAGGAAGAAGAGTAAGGGTGTTTAAACTAATCAATTCGTTTCGTGTTTTTAGTTGAGCTGTTTACAGTTCCAGATCAGATTAGACTTAAGCATAACAAATTACTCCATAGATTAGATCAGATCAGACTTTCGTGATTATAAAATATTATTGTACAAAGAAAACTGACATTTACGAGATCAAACTAGACTAGTTAAAACCAACTGTACCAGCAAACTAAGGAAAAAACTAAAAACATCCTAACCCAATTAGGCAATCCCGTAGCCAAGGAGACAAGGACCCAAAGTCGCAGTCGGCCCGTCGTAGTCCTGCAGGCTGCAGACCACACCCGCCTCACGCCGCCGCATCCCCGCTGGCCGCAGCCCTACGGTTCCCGCCCCTGCTTCGTGATAGTCTGCTTATCCGAATCTCATTTCTCAGCTTGTGGCACTGTGGAAGTTCTGGCTGAGTGGCTGCTGCCGTAGCTCCGCTAATCGCCCCAAACCCCAGGCAGCAGGTCAGTCCTAAACTCATAAGTCATAAGCGTTTATTCTTTAATACGGAGTATTTATTTTATTTTAATTTAAGTAGCTAATAGCTTGGAATCTTAATTCTTAAGCAGCTAGAAAATTATATCAATCTTGCATTCTTGCAGGTATCATAAAAATTGAATTTTTATGATACGTGTAGAAAGTTATATCAATCTTGTATGCTTGCCCAGTTGCCCGTATAGTATTTTAGGAGTAATTGAAAAGAAAATATGAGGGGAGCGTATGGATTATTAACTTCAGCCACTTGACTATTAACTTTCTCATTTTCAACCAAACAAAGAATTACGAAATCAGTTTCAAGCTTATAATACACAGAATTGAATTCCTTAGTTTTGACAAAGTTCATTTTACTGAAATCACAAATAAGCTCCTTGACCAGCCAGATTTTTCGCAAATGACACCAAAAGATGATGCCATATAATAATAATATTAGTAGGAATTGAGTTTTTTTCTAACTAAGTTATCTACAAATTTATCTTGCAGATTGTCCGCAAGCTCAATTTTTTTAGTATAAAATGCATTGAAAACACCAATTTAGTTTTAAATATGAACAGGTCTTAATATCATTAAATTCAACTACGTATAATTTTTCACTTTAAAAGGGTCAGTTATGGAAAATCTTACTGGACACGGGACACATTTCTAATTTTCAGAGACCTCGAGGGTCATTTTGCAAATTGACCAAACCTCAGAGGTACAACAACATCCAAGCCTTACATCTAAAAGAGTTTGGGGCCGGCTAACATGAATCGACATATGAAATCGAAGCTAAAAAGGAGAGGAGATAGATGTAATTAATTCATACTAGTAATATAATATGAAGCATTTAAATTATAAACTAAGCTCAAAAGTTGTGGGTGCAGAATCAGAATCTCTGCTTTGTGTTTTACTCATACTGTTTCTGGAAGGTTTAGATCATCTCTTGTTTACATTCTACAGAAACTCTGGAAATTATCACTGCACACTGTTGAGTAGGGTTTTCTTCACCTATGCCATGGAGCTGGGGTTGGTCATTGTGTTGAGAGCAATATGGCTTGCTGCAATTCTTCCCATTCTGATTGCCTCAATTCCTTCTTCCAAGTTTGATTGGTTTCACGAATTTTTGTTGATGTTTGCTAGGCGAGGCAAGATCATGCAATCTTCATCCCATGTGAGTGATATTAAGTTAATAGCACATATTTATCCTGGAGGGAGATCAACCAATTCCCATGTGTGATTTTGTAGGATTGAATCCACCTCACTTTTGATGGCTTCTTTCCACATATGACCTTCGGTAGACGTTACAGATTCCGTATAAGTCCGTGGCTCATTTTCTATCAAACATGTTAGAAAATCCAATTCATTTTCTACCATACAAGTTAGATTATTCGAATCGAATTCTACCAAGTATGTGAGAAAAACCGGTCCGGAGGATTTTTCAATTTTAGCACGTTTGCTACGTCAGGGTTCGGGTTCTTCACCGGATCCTTCGCTAGTATTTTCCATAGCTAGGTCCTTCGTTGGACTTGCATGGAATTATTAACATTATTCGGTTGATTGAATTAGTTATATATAAAAATGCGGAGTTAAATTTGGAAAAAGAAAATAAAAGAGGCTGTTACAAACCCTTGGTATGCCTAGATTTTTGTCACTCACATGCTTATTATCTGCACAAACCCTTGGTATGCCTAGCTTTTTGTCACTCACATTTTGTCACATGCTTATTATCTACATGCATATTATTTTCTTTTTAAGATGAATTAGACATTGTTTTTAATTTGAGAAAATATCTAAAATTGATGCACAAAGCTTGGACCTTTTTTTCCTATGTTTTTCTTTCCTTCCAAATTTTCTTGACTTTCTCTGTTTTTTTTGTCTATCTATTTTCAGAGTGGACCAATGCAGTTGACCTTTTTATCAAATTCATTTTCTTTGTATCAAAACTCCTTTCGTTTTTCTTAAGCCTTGTTAACAAATCCTTTTACTTGATTGCAGAAATTGACTGTCCCTCAAAAGTTCTTCTGTCATTTTTATGTTCTTGCTTCTCTCTGGACAGCACTTCTGCTAATTGCAATGTGGGTTTATGCATGTATGCCCACACTGATGATCTCTGAAATGTCACTTTTTCCGAGCATTGTGAGTGAACTGGCGGGAGGTTCACATGATCTTTCTTCACACACTTCTCATTCAATAAAGGAAAATGGTGGAATTCTTTTATCTGTCTTTATGCTCTTACTAATGGAAACCCACTTACTCCGACGCCTTTTTGAGTCAGTATATGTGTTTAAGTACAGCCCATCTGCCAGAATGCACATTTTTGGCTACTTCTCAGGCTTGATGTAAGTGTGCCTACTTTTGTTTCATTATAGGCTCTTTTATCATATAAGAAATTAGTTCAACTACCCCAAACTATGGGATGTGTGAACTCGCCACCCTCTGCTTTAATGTGTGAAATAAATATCTTAAAGTGTGTAATACACGTGTGCCTGAGCACCATGGGCGTATGTTGAGGGTCCTAAGAGCAAAACTTATCTACTCTGCACTTTTTGGGTGAGCATTTAACATCCTAAACTTAAATTTGTGAATTACATAATCTACTTCTATGGTATTGAGATAACTTGTAATATAAGGTTTAGGATATTTATTTCACACATTGAAGTTTGGAGCTGAGTTCACACATCCACATAGTTTGTGGTATTCGAAATAATTTTCCCATTTATATTTCCAAAATGATGATTTATTCATACACAATATCACGGCACTCTAAGTTAATAATAGATAAAGATGTAAGAGTGTGTTTTGTATTGAATGTTTCATATTTGATACTATCTTCCGGTATTATAGAGCGTTGAGTATGTGACTACTTAATTCTCCTTTGATTTACAACGTTATGGTTTGATCAGATGGTGCTTGAACCAGAATCATTTCATTGAATATGCATCCGAATGATGTTAGCTACTTAGATTTTTAATTTTGAAAAATCTAAACATCCATTTATATGGTAACAAGTTGCCTTCTGAATTTTGTATTTATGCAGTTTTTATGCAGCCGCTCCTTTGTCTCTTTGTTGTAATCATATTCCAGAGGTTTTCAAATTCACTTTGAGTTTGTTCCAAGAGTTTATTTTGAAGGAGAAAGATAGAATACAAGGAACCAAGTTTGTTTTGTCGGGATTTGTAAACCCTCTAAGTAATCTAAGATGGTACACATGGATTGGTGCCACTATTTTCTTTTGGGGTATGATTCATCAGCACACTTGCCATGTTATTTTGGTAAGATGAGTATCCTTCTTTAGTTTTGTATTTGGATTCTTTTGGTTGGTTGCTTACTTGCTTCTTGTAAAAATATTTCTCCTCGATATGACTTGATAGGAGAAGGGAATTAAGGATCTTCACCTGAACTGAAAATGTACTCTCATCTGTACTTTTTTAAAGATTAAGTCACATCTGGGTAAAATCTTTCTGGTTTGGTTTGAATGTGTTTTGTCAGCTCTTAATCTTTTTGCTCTTATATGAGTGTTTCAGATCTTGTCTGAAACATATATGTTGCCTGTTTTGGATGTTTTTGGGCTGGTCATGTCTGAGTGTCTGAACGTTTTGTGGTCTAGTCTAGCACTCATAACTTTTTTTTAGTTCTTTCGCATAACTTTTTGTTTATTTCATTCATGGTTGTCACAGCTGCTAGAAAAGGTTCTGCGTTAGCCGTCAGCCAACCACCTTATTTCCTAGGCATTAAGGCCCCTCCCTATACCTAGGTGACAACTAGGCAACAAGTTGTGCCATTACATAGTATATATATTTAAATATAAAAATAATACTCCCTCCGTCCCAAAATTAACTTCTCACTTTCCTTTTCGGGCAGTCCCGAAATTAACTTCACACTTCAAAACTTTCCTTATTTGGCAAATAATCTACATCAAAAAGTGCCAAACAGTGCCAAACAGTGTCCAAACAGTGTTTAAATAGTGCAAAATAGTGCACTCCACAGTAAAGTCAAATTTATTTTCTTAATCTGTGTGAAGTCAAACTGTGAACTTAATTACGGGACGGAGGGAGTATAAATTAAAGTATACATTTACTTCTTTACTTATTGTTCAAACCAAAATTCTAATAATATTTCAGTTAGTAAAGAATTAAACTATGTAGTCCATTTGAATTCAACTAATGGACAACTAAAGAGGATAATATACAAACAGATTAAGGCTTTGGGCTTCGCGACATAAAGTAAAGAACACAGGTTGGAGGCAAAGAATAAGAAATGAGGTCAAGCTTCGCGGGAGTAGATAACGGTGGAGAAGGCGGGGCATTGGCGGCCGGTGGGGCGACCTGCTTCAGTAGCTGGTGAGGCAACATGTGACAGCTTAAAGGATTAAATGTCGCATTTTTCCAGGCTGGGTCAGCAAAATAAACTATATCTGGCGTCGCCATGGCCCATGGCGACTGACGATGCCTAATCATCGCCGCAGAATGCCTAGGAAGCTTCAGGTGAGTCGATTGAGCATGGTGGTTCTCCTCCATTGCCAGGACGCCTAATTGGTGCCCCGGCGACGCCAATGTAATACTAATTTTATAAATAAAGTACTCCATCCATCCCACAAAACATCCCCAACTTTCCTTTTCTAATTATCCCAAAAAACTTTGTTATCTCCATTTAAAGTAACAAATATGTGACTAAAGTGGTTTCTTTAAATCTTTATCGCTCATTCTTTATTCAATTATTCCACATGTAAGTAAGCTTTGGCCATATTTTTATGCGACAGAGGGAGTATTTTCAATATTTTTCATAGTTCATCAGATTGAAGAATTCAGTTGCTTCAGTTAGAATTTTATCAATTTGAGTGGATTCAGCCGATTCGACCAATTTTAGTGTTATAAAATGGGCTCTAAGAGTATATCAGAGTATCAGACTGAAAAGGCTCATACTAAAGCTGATCAGATGCGCTTTAAAATATAAGAAAATTAAGCTCAATGAGAAACATTCAGACCCCCCATAGTACTAGACAGCCCACATCAAGATGAAACCAAAAATATTGTGATCACCATACCAGACCAAATCATAAAGTTTAGATAAGACTTCACATATATTAAACTAGGAGAACATGGTTTTTTGACAATTCTTTCTAACCTATTATAGTATTTGTTCCATGTTAAGGCTAACATCCTTGAACTGGGATGAGACTCGAACTTGTGACCTCCTTCTTGGAAGTGTCACAGTGATGTCATCAGACCACAAGGTACTTGGCCAGAACATGTCTTAATCATTAAGTTAAAAAACTTAAGTGAAGAGAACATCACCTTAGTACAGTGGTACATTTAAAAGCATGTAAAGATTGCCTGCCAGATTTGCATTTTATGCGTGACACAACTGATCTAACTCGGAGGTTTCATTTTTCCCTCATATTACTAGGGCATGTTGAGGAAGAACAAACAACAATCTGTTGATTACATAGTACCCTGCGGAGATTGGTTTCAATATGTTTCATCTCCACATTATCTGGCTGAGATTGTAAATCCCTTTCGTTAATTAGCTCTACTGTTTATCTTTCTAAATACCAACAAATAATTTACTTTATCATGGACATACCTGTGAGTAACTTTACATAATTACCAATTTTGCATCTGGTGAAGGTCATATATTTTGGTCTCGTGGTTGCACGTGGATGCTCGGATCTCACAGTGTGGTTACTCTTTGGTTTCGTGGTACTTCTTTCTTTCTTTGGAGAAAAAGAAAACTGCTTATTAATACAAATTCGTAATGTCATTCTAATTTCTAAAAATCATGTGTCTTATTTTATTGTTCAAATACTTCAACTGCATTGAAATGTTGCTTAATTATTTTGGACTTAAGATGATTAATTAATCATGTTGGCTGCAGGTGGCAAATCTTGTCTTCACAGCGGCAGAAACACATAGATGGTATCTGCATAAATTTGACAACTACCCTAAAGATCGCTTCGCCATTCTGCCCTTTGTTTATTAATGACCAATGACATGGTATTCACATCTGTTTACATCCTCACATATTATTAGATGCAGATTGATGAGTGTCATGTGGATTTCTTACACGTTTGCATTTTAGAACAATTATCTTCTTTGAATTGGAGCTCGCCTAGAAAGCAAGGAACCAAGACAATTTGTGTGAACCTGATATGAGAAACCAATTGAGATTGCAAAGAGTAATGGTACCTGGGTGTCTCCGTATTTGTGTAACATTGTCGAACTTGTGTCTTATTGGAATTCAAAAGAAGAGTGGTAAAAGCCGATCTTGAGTTGAGTAATTTGAGTCACACATCATATATATATATATATATAAATAGCTGGGGAATACTTAGAGACTTAATTCTAGCTTGTTGAGTTGGTTGATAAAGAAACTGGATGTATTTTTTTGGTTGAAAGTATTGAAGTTGATCAAGCATGATCACTTATGCTTTTTCTCTTATAACTCAGTTTTCCACTACTCAACATATTAAGCTATTCCAATGAAAATTCAAACAATTCCATCAGAGTATCAGACTCAGTTCAACTATTTTAAGCCTGACCAATGGGGTGTTTAATGTATTCAATGTCTTAACTAATGTTGTAGAGATCATGCCTCGAGGTTACAACTTGTGAAGTTGTGAGTGACATCCCTTTTTTTTGTGTTTTTTATCTGGACCACTTTTGTGTACTAATTTATAAATCCAACAGCGTCCAATTGGCTACCTCACTATGACTTGTGAGTGGCGGATTTAGAGAGTGTTTGCTAAAACTTTAAAAAGTGCTTTTCATTTTTTGTTTAAAAAAGCTGAAAGGTGTTTTTAAATGATAGTTTCTGATTAAATTAAGCACTTAAAAACTAAAAGTTGGAAGCAGGTGGAAGACTGCTTTAAACTGCTTTTTACCTTTTCTATTACACAAAAAATACCTATTTTACGGTTTTTACCAAACGCTATTAACTTTAACTTTTTTCAAATCATTTTTTCTCAAACATTATAAACTTTTACTATTAAGTTTTTTCTCCAAAATCATTTAAAAATCACTTTTTTGAAGTTGAAGCAATCGGAACTCCTTAGTAATTGGTAACTTGGTATGGCTTTGATATGTGTTATTCATAAATCATATGTGATTTTGCACGGCAGTTACATACTTACCGTATTAAGGATAGTTTGCAAAACCAAGGATTCGAATCCCATATTCCCTCAATCCCACGTACCTCTTTTTGCCCCAGTTTTCCCTATAAAGCTTCAAACAACTAAGAGCCCGTTTGGAGACCCCCTTTTTCGGCTTATCAGGCTTATCAGCCAGCTTTTTCACCAAACACGTAATTTTTACTTTCGCGTGCTGAATTGTGTAATAAACAGAAAAAGTAAGGTTGAAGTTACTTTTCTGGCTGTATTGGCTGAAGTTACTGTAGATGACCATTTTAGCTATTTTTACATGTAACTTTTTCTTTATTTTATTAATAAAATATATTTTTAAAATATTTTTTTCTAGAATCAGCAGAATCAGCCAAAACAGCCACTTCAGTCAGAACTTCATAAATTTCAGCAGAAATAGCCAAAACAGCCGATTTTCGTGCTACCAAACGGGCTCTAAATGTTGCTTCAAGCAAACATGAAATAATGGAATTAAGAGTGACATGTTTTTTATTATGTTGGATGAGATTATGAATAGGAGAGAACAAATTGAAAGGCGAACACTCCTATGAATGATTGATTCTTTTCTCTCTTCTCTCTTTTCTCTCTTTTTAATTACATACTTGGTCCGTCCCATATTTAATTAAATTGCTTATATATGGACACTGTTTTAAACAGATAAAAAAAATGTATCAAAAATATATGGACATCGTTAAAAATTTAAAATTGAACTTACATTAACCAAAAATATTTCATTGACAGAAAAGAGAAGATAATTTTCTCATAAAAGGAAAAATAAAACACAATGTCATCATATTTTTTATGAATGAAGAATTTGGTAGTCATACTCCCAATGTCCCAAATTGATTTGTAAAGTCAACATTTTTTCGTCAACCAATGTTAAAGTTAAATCCTCAATATCGATAGTTAACTTTATTTTAATAATTAAAATTTATATATTCTGAAACTAAATTAGAATTTCTTTAAAATTGTGAACTCCAAATTAGAATATAATAAAAAATTGACATTCTAATTAAGTGAATAAATAAAATTATTTGATCAAGAAAAGTCAATTTTGCAAATCAATTTGGGACGAAAGTATATTTGATTTTGAAATATACCCAGTATGGAGTATTATTTATAATGTGGTCGAGTGATTGTGAAACGCAGTGGCGGAGCCAGCAATTCATTAGAGTGGTGTCAACTTTTTGAACTAAATTCTACTTATATGACACGTACAATATTAAAAAAATATGTTGATAATTATACGTTTTCTACAATTATTCAATTCAACATTTTGATTTTAATACCAAAATACAACTATGTATGTACAACCTTTAGATCAGCTCACCGGATAACAACATTGAGTTTGTAGTTTGTAAATTATGAGTCTGTAGCTTGTAGTTTGTGAATTATGAAATATCCCTTATATATTTGACTTTGTATATATTTTTGAATACTTGAGTATGAATTAATTATTTATATAGTCTGTTTTACTAGTGATAATCGATGATAAGTTCGGTATTATCTAATATTATGCTTCTTTAAAAATAGGAAAAAATAATAAAAATACCCCAAACTTTGAAGGGGTGTGACATAAACACTCCAAACTTTCATATGTAATTTAAATATCCCAAATTTTATATAAAAAATTATTTTAACACCATGATCATGTATTATTTATTTCAAAATTGTAAATTTGTTGTGTTAATTGCATAATTTAAAATGGCAAATTGAAAACGTTGCAATTATATAAAGTGGGGGTAACTATTTATTTTACAATTAAAATTTAGAATGTTAATTGTATCTCCATGAATGCTAAAATATTTTAAATGATAGAATTAACACAAAAAATTAACATTTTTGAAAGAAATAATACATGACCATGGTGCTAAAATAACTTTTTATGTAAAGTTCGAGGTATTTAAATTACATATGCAAGTTTGGGGTCCTTACTTCACACCCCATGAAAGTTTGGGGTATTTTAATTATTTTTCCCTTAAAAATATTGTATATTTTTCTCATCATTGATACTTTAATTTGGCCGACCCCAATATCTTTTGGGACTAAGGCTCGAATGTTTTTGTTGTATTGATACTTTAATTTCAAAAACTTTATTGATACAAATCTTTAATATAACTAAATAATAAAGTAAGGGTACGATAATAAATTCTTCAAATATTACATGTGTAGATACTATCATACTCCCCCCGTCCCGCTAAAATTGACTCATCTTTCCTTTCTGGTCCGTTCCACTTAGATTGTCATATACCAAATTTGATAAAATTTTTGTGGTTCTAAATCATTCCTAATTTATTCCAACTTTATTCAATATCAATCACATAATTAAATTCATTTTTCTTATTAAATGTGTCACCTCCTCATGTACCAATGTTAGTAGGATGGAGATACTACTATATAATCTTCTCATATTAAAGAATGACTATCTAGTTTTTTATGATACACATTATCTTATCAAAATTTAGAGTCAACGTAATAATCCGTCAATTCTTCCTTTTGTCACCTTAATCATGGTGTTTTTTTGTCAACTTTAAATTTAAGAATCCTTATATTTGTCTTGTATAAGTATTCTAGTGCATCATTTATTGAAATGAGTAATAGATATTATTCATGGATAGATTTTATTACATGTAAATTTGTTTTAGTTTAATAAATATATTTTGAGTCTTTCAAAAATATTTCTGAAATAAGCTTAATTATTTACATAAATACCACTAAAATTTACTACTGCGTATAATATAGTGTTATGGACACTTAAATTTACTAAAGTTTCTAATGTAGTCACAACACTTGAGACATTACTTTTTGTAAATAACTTTATTTTATTTTTAAATATGTAATTTTTTCATATATATATATATATATATATATATATATACACTTTGACCCTCAGTTCGTTAATATAGGTGGTGTCAAATTAAATTGATTTTTAGAAAATATACCTTCATATATAACTACAAAAAATATTTGAGTAGTGTCAATTGATCATCATTGTATGTATATAGGTGGTGTCAAATTAATTTACAAAAAAATACCTCTATATATACTTACAAAAATTATTTGAGTGGTGTCAATTGACACCACACCCTTGTATGTGTCTCCGCCACTGGTGAAACGGGTGTGATATTATATTGCGAGTTTGCCCCATATGGGCAAAGCTTGTAATATGCCACTGGCCGCACCATAATTTCCGTGCTCATAATATGGTACTAGTATTAGTTAAGCTCTAGGTCATAAGTGGAAATGGTTCAACAGGAATCAGGGTTACACTTCACATATAGTTTCTCGGGGTTTTGTCTAAAATAATACTAAAAAAAGAGTTATGGACAAAAAAGTGGCACTCTCCTCCCATTTCCAAAAATAAGACTAAGAAGTGATTAGGAGACTATTATACCCCTATTACTCCTACAGTAACGTCACAGTGACTAGTAACACCATAGTGACCAAAATCCGCCAGTGACCAAAATCCGCCAGTGACCAAAAATCCACCAGTGACCAAAATCCGCCAGTGACCAAAAATCCGCCAGTGACAAAAAATCCGCCAGTGACCAAAATCCGCTAGTGACCAAAATCCATCAATGACCAAAATCCCAAAAAATCATTAGTGACCAAAAATTCAAAATTTACGAGTGACCAAAAATAATTAGTTACCAAAAATTCCGCCTAATAACATAGTGACTTCCGCCCATTCAGTACCAACGTCCGTCTGTCAGTGACCAACGTTCGTCTGTCTAGTTACAGTTACTTAGCCTAACTAGTTACAATTACTCAACCCAACTCCCATCCGCCTTCCATCAAGTGACCACCGTCGCAGCCCCGAAAACCGCCGCCGCTCCGGCAACCGCCGCTGCCGGCGCAGCCCTGGCACCACAGCCACTCTGCCCATGTCCCCTCCCAACCCCCTCTCCATCCCCCTGGCCAGCCCCAGCCACCTAAACCCCAGCCCCACAACCCTACCTTCGTCCCAATTGCTGACTAACCCTAGCCACCGCCATTGTCCCTAGCTCCGTCGCAGCCCCCAATAACCCCAGCCCTAGCTCTAGCCCGAGCCAGACGCCCAGACAATTGAGTCATCGTAATACCCGTCGAGTCTAGCCCTAACCACCGTCACAGGTCTTATATCTAACCACTTCCGTCACCGGCAATCTCAAATCGAAGTTGTGGCCATCGCCGACATCGCCTTCACCTCTAACAAAACAGAAATTAAAGATGAAGAAGAGCAGGGGCGATGATCTAGAGTCGGAGGCGAAGACTTGGAGACGAAAGCGGTGACCAAGCAAGGGAGGCGGAGATCGGACGATGGAGGCCTCACAGAGGCAGAAGCTTTGCGCGTTGAAAAATAGTTGCAGACGACGATGGAAACGTATCTGAGGGAAGATGGGGTTAGCAAAGAGAAG